TTAATATAAAATATTTGAATTTAATAATATAAAATATGAATTTTTATTTGCAGAATAGGGAAATAATTATCTGTTGATCATTGTGAAATATTTTTAAAATATTAAATGGAATATATATTTTATAGTGTTAAGTGTATTTAAAAATTTTTTCTTTTACCTTTAAATGATTCTTTTTCCAAAAAACTTTTGGGCAATATTTTAGAAATTTGAATTTTACAGTGTTAATCCAATTATAAAAAAAAGTCTTCGAATTTCTTTTTAGAAGTTAATTCTCGATGCTAAATTAGTTAGAAATACAATAACTTAGTTTTTCATTAATTAGATTAAAATATGTCGATAATATTAACAATTTATTAATTGCAATGAGAAATTCGAAAATCATTAATTGTGCCTTTTTTGAAACCGTATATTAGAGTAGGTATGGGGGAAATATAAGGTATGTGATTTGCAAATTATTTTCTTTTACAGAAATTCAGATATGTGAATTTTTATTTCCTTTCTAAGAAACAAATCTATAATTACAGTAAATGCAAGCGGGTACGGTATCGGAGCTGTCCTAGTATTCAGTATACTTAAAAAGCCGAAAAGAATTATTCCACCACAGAAAGGGAATGTCTTGCCATCGTATGGGCTACCAACAAATTCCGGCCGTACTATCGAAATTAGTACTGTTGAGTTTATTTAAAGAGCCAAAAGGATTTCAAGCAATTTCAATTTAAACATACATTTTTTATCTTACGTGTCATAGAGTTAAAATTCTTATAAACTCATTTTTTTATTATTTAATATAATTTATTTAATACATTTTATAATACAGCTAGAGAAGTGAGATTACGACAATGCTATAATAAATATATAATTAAAAAAACATGAAATATTAAATAACATGTGTGATGCAGTTATTTGTGGCTCTTGTACCACCTTTGTCTCTCTATATAACTGCAAATAACTCAAAAGATTTGTGATTGATGAATAAAATTACATTAATTCCTTATTCATTTATCAAAAATGTTTGAACACATAAAATCATTAATCAACATCATTTTGAATTCTGGTGTACTTTTTTTAATTAAAAGATGAAATAATTAAAACAAATTACGTTCTGAATTAATTAATAATTTTCTTCAAGAACTAGAATTAATGAATCGTCAGTCAAATATTTTCTTTGAATTGAACTGGTCTCGAACTCCGTGAAAAATTTAAAATAAAAAACTTGAATTTTTTAAAAAAATTATTCTCATTTTAGCGGAAATTATTAGTATATGGAATTTGATAGTAACTATTCGTTATTTCTTCTACAATTAGGCATTTTTATTCTAAACAGATACGAATTAAACATTTCTAATCATTTTAAAAATTGTAAGATCTTGGATTTAAATTAGATGAGTTAAAAGACTCCCTTTAAAAATGTACATATGCTCTATTAAAAATGTAGATTAAATCCACTGAATAATATAATGGATATTTATTAACTTATAAAATGAAAATAAAGTAATTAATGCAGAAAGAAATGCATCCTTAATTTTTTACTATGACGTTTAATGATTACCTTTATTGATTTATCAATCGAATTTTTCCAAAAGTCTTAGCTGACATTATTAGCAATTTTTCAGCTTTGATAAATTGTTACTGAAAAGATTTAACGAATATTAGAATTTCAGTAGGGAAAGTGCTTGATTGCAAAATGATAAATTTTTATTTTTTATTTTTTCTCATTTCAAATAGTTCTTGAAATTGCGAAATTGAGGGGAAAAAATTTACTTACGGAAAATTATATATAAAGTTCTCCTTTCATTGAACAGTGTAATTTTTATACGAATAAATAAGAAACTTTTAAAGTGAAATAATCCTGATTAAATACCAAATATCTTCAAATGAATCAAAGTATGCAGCTTAAATACAGCATTATAAGTAATACTTTATATTAAACTACATATTATATCAGTCATTAAACGGACTTTTCAAAGTTTTTAATTCACTTGATGGTTATTCTTTTATATTATAATAAAAGTAAAGATAATTAATCGATCTTCTAAATCCTTACTAATATTATAAACGTGAAAGTTTGTGTGGATGTTTGGTACTCTTTCACACAAAAATAACTGTATGGATTTTAATGAAACTTTAGAATAATATAGCTTTTACATCAGAATAACACATAGGCTATAATTTATAAAGATATTGTGTGAAGTGTCCAAAATATAACGATAATTGTCCAGTAAGTAGGAAAAAATTCTGTCATCTGCAAAAAAGCCCGCGACAGCATATGTCTATCTTTTATGTGTGAAGCAAAACTGCATTTTGTTTTGTCTACGCCAGGAACTGCGAAAGCTTGAACAGGCGGAGTGTGAGGCTGATTACAATTTTAATATAAAATAAATTCAACAAAAAGTAATATTAACGTATTACACTTCCAGATGTAAATTATTTATACTATTTTAAGCGTTCATTACACAAAATTTGCAACAATGTGTTACTTTTACTGAGTAGAGATCAGCTT